CGTTTTCGAATAGAAAAGGGTGACCAACATGACTTTACTCGAGATTTCTAAAGCGAAGTTTTTGTGATCAGGTTGAACCTTCCCCAATTTAAGTAAGTGATTGTATTTTCGTCTCAGAATTATAAGCAAAACACAAAGTTTCATCCCCAGTTAGATTCTGCTTAATAAAATCAATGACAATAATTTGGTTCTAATCCTGGTTCTAATCTTTCATGGTCTTTCGCAAAAGTTTTGTGAGAAATCTGTTTATTGGCGTTAAGCTGACCAAACATCATTCGAAGATACCAGGTGGCTGTTTTTCAGAAACAATTATTGAACGCTTGCGGTGTTCTCATTCGCTCGAGATTGCGAAGAGCGAGCACTAATGGGTTTTTTTATGAATCTATTCGCGTCCATCACGAAAGCGTCCGTACCGGCAAAAAATATTGCATCATGTTAATGCTTGATCCCCGTATGCTTTACGCAGTATTTCCGATACCTCTGTTTGCTATTTTCCACATTTACAGCAAACTTTATTACTGTTCTTTGAACAAATTTCGAATCCATGACAATAAATATTCATTAGATCAAAGCAAAACAACAGCTGCATAAAAACCTGTGACCTTATGCGGCATAGACAACTGTGCCCTTATAATATGACAAGCGAAAAAACAGGTTGATATATCACAGTAATAACTGCTGTCACATATCATTTATGATTTGCAAGTTTTGCTGGAATTTGTGAAAAAAATAATAACCTCGAAACCTCTGAAAGGGCTTAAATTTTAACGGTCACCCAAAAGATTTTGTTAACGTTTTTCCGCGTTCTCGCTGAACTCGCAGTCTACCAGTCTTCTGTTGCACTCACTTCTGCTAGACCATTTCTTTTTGGCTTTTTAGCTTTATTATTAAGCATCATTTTCTTCTCACTTAAATCATATACAATTACGTCATATACAATTAATTCAACAGCAACATCACAAAATTTTTAAAAGCAGCATGTATTTAGAATTCTTGATACAGTGTTAATTGTTGGCATACATTTTTCTATTTTTTTCAGTGTTTTCACAGTTTATCATATTAATGCACAGTTTTCTAATAAGGTGGCTTGCAAAGTCTTTTTTAGTCTTTTTATTATTAACGTTTTGTGTGTTAAATTTAGTGCTTATATATCATGTTCTTCTCTCTTAAGCCACATAAAAAATTCAGTTGATTAGCAAAATCACAAAATATTTGAAAACTGCACTTCTTTAGAATTTCTCATACAGTCTCGCGGGCTGGAGATAATAGTGTTTTCATACGCTAAGTGTTGCCTCTGCTTGCTTTCAAATCGTTGAGTTTGTTAAATATTCATTTAAGTTTTATAAAAATATGAAGTATAAAATTCAAAATTCGGGATTCCAGGTGCACATGTTCTGTTGGAGGCCTACGTTATGCAAAATCTGATGACCCTAGGCGCCATCGTTTTTTTCACAGTCATACAGATCAGATGCTTTATTATTTAATTTCTTTAAAATAATACAGGACAATAATATTTCGCTACAGCAATTTAAAAATGATTCAGACATTTAAACTGAAACGCAGCCAAATCCTCTTTCAAGACTAATCGCCTATTCGGGCTAACGCTCTTTTGTGCTAATTATTAGTTTTTTGTAAATATCGTTAAAGATTCATAGCCTTTTCATAAACCTTTCTTATAAAAAGGAGTATATTTATCAACAGCTCAAGCCTGAATTTATTAAGATCATCTAGGATCCTAGCAAAGCATTCTTTTAAGGGCCTCACTGCTCACTTTTGTCATGAAATGAAATCACCGTTTTGAGATCTTATTGAAGATTTTCAAGATTTCTTAAGACTGAGCTTGAGCAGCAATGAAGCTTTGATAACAAAGTTAGGTTGTCAGTTTAAGAAATAATTATTTGTTTCTCAAAATACATATACCAATAATGAATTATACTGTATATAATTATAAAGTATAGTATAACACCATCTCTATTACACTTACATTATTTATTATAATTATTTCTAAAAACCAAACAAGGGGAAATGTAATGTGAAAAATGCTGTTTACTGCGGCAAACATTTATGCATTCAATAACGCAGGCACGATTTTTGTTTTGTAATGGCAAACTAATGCAATCAATATGACACTCTGACAGTAGTCTAGCCAGCCTACACTCTAATGATTCACTTAAGCTTTGTGGAAATGACAACTCTCCTTTGTAACTTTGACTTCTTTCTCTATCTAGCTGATTTCTTATTAATAAACTGCTTAAAAACACAGAAATTGAGGCAGACACAGAATGTTTTGCAGAAATTGAGGAAGCTATACGTTATTTTCTTTGTTTATTACCTTCTAAACTTAAATAAATTGTTGCTTTATTTCCCTGTAAATTTTTAAATAGAAATGTTAACATTTCGACGCAGTGCAGTGTATAATTATTTGTTTTCTTAAACAGTAGAGTCATTAGATTGGTCGAAGCTAAAAGCATGAAAAATGTGCAGTGCCTTCACAGGGATTCTATCTCCGGACCTTCCGATTGCTAGCCGGAGATATTTCCAATTGCATCACGAAGGCACGCGTAAAGAGGGAGAATTTTCTTAGCATTCTCCTTAGATTAAAGGGTGACTGGGGTGGAAGAGACACCTGTAACCAAATACTAAAGGTGACGGTTTATCGTCCGACAGATTTTAGTTCAGACGCCATTCGTAGAATCATTAGGATTACATAGGAGCTGCAACCGTGAAAATGAGCAGAGCTCTCGCCGAAATTTTAAGTTTGGACCTCCAGATTTCTAGGCGGACGTGGTTTCAATTACACTTCAAAACAAGCTGTAAGAACGTAAAAAAGTACTGTACGAAATATTCCGCAATTACCTGAAACTAACTTTAATTTAGTTGATAAATATTGGTCACCTTCTTTGGTGCATCCTCTGCTGTCAGTGATGAGACGAGTAAATCATCGACGGGTTGGGCAGTTCCCAACGAGTAACAAGAGTCTGGCTATTAGTCGCTGATAACAATATAGAAATTCTTCCGAAATTACCTTTCTTATCGCCCCCCCCAGACGATATAGTGGTTTAGAGGAGCCTACTGAGATATCGAAGTGCTCGAGCTCGAATACCGGAGAAGGCACGGATGTAAATTGTAGTATGTACCTCCATAGGACATAACGATGGCCGCCTGTTAAGTGTCTCCATGACAAAATGACCACCACTTTTGGCTTTGGCAGTGGCGAAAGCCATACAAATGGTAAAAACCTTTCCCTTCAGGTCGATTAGTTCTTTTGAACTAATATTTATAGCCTAAAAGCTCATTCTTCGCTTTGATAAAATCTCACCTTGCTTTATCAACCAAAATTCATGATACCGCTTTTTGTTCACCTGACTTTACGTAGTCTCTAATATATTATTATTCCTGAGAAATTGTTTAAGTACTTTCGAAAGTCTTTAGATGTCTATAATATTTTCTTCGATTGTTTTTCACGTCTTTCAACGTCTACTACTTTTCTTCGTAAGGTCATTAAGTTATTTGGAAGCTGGAGGCGTGAAAAGTGTCCATTGCCCTCGTCGGAACTCAAACCTGGACCTCTCGAATACACGCCGAATGTGCTACCGTTACAGCAAGAAGTCTGGCGGAAAGGAAGAAGAAAATACCTTATACACTCATAGTTATATTGTGATCATTCAGTTTTAGTTCACTTACTGATTCGTACCACAGAATGGCGATATTTATTTTTCCAAAATTTTCGGAAAAATGTGTCGAGAAGTAAGAAATAAAAAATGTGACTTTTTATAAGGAAACTGTCTGGCGCAGGGATTAAACTAGAAGTATTAATTCTAAATATTTTTTTTCAAACAGGACATCTAAGAAATACCATGGACATGAAATATCATACTTAAAATCTCCTTTTAAATTTTTTAGTTTTTGAACTGTTACTGAAAATTTGTTATTAAAGTAATTCATTAAATGTGCATGACCAAACACAAAATAACAAGATCATTATGTCGACTTTGGAAGCACTTCAAGTCTGAGAACATTTAAGGATACAAATTCTGTATGAATGCCTGGTATAAAATCATTATGTTTGCTCGCCTTTGTACTGCATTTATGACTTCACTATAAGAAGAATTTATACTAATAAATTTCGGTGTTTCGTAGTGACCTATTTGACTTTTCTCGAACAACTTTGACCTCGTGGCTTTGACCTTCCTTGAAACAATGAATGACTGCGAGGCTTATAATATCGTTTTAAGGTAAGAACTGAAAGTATTCATGCAGAAAAATGAGAATGTTTTCATGGCTAGAATTCCTAATTCTGAAATTGTTTTAGATATCGATGAAACTCATTTATTTATGAATTTTCTTTTCTTGAGTTCTATGTGATATGCAGTTGATAACCAGAATGTCAGGGTGTTTGATTAACTTATAAAATCATCCCAGTATAAATTCCGACGTTTCCTTTTTGTTTGAAAACATGAAATTGCTTACAGAAATCGGTAACGCGGTGGACATAGGATTTTCCCGGGGTATTGTATATTTATCATAAACAAGAAATCTCTGCCGAAGTTACATACCAAAATGTATGATATGCTCAAAATACGTTTTGAACGCTGGCTAGCCATGCACATCCTAGTGAGAACTTTAAAACCAGTTTTTTCCTGAATTATTTGTCTATTAAAAACTTTATGAACTCTTTTCAAAATATGACATTTGCGCCAATACTTTTATAAAATATTTCATCTTCTTCATCTGTAAAAGTGTTCATCACTTGCATCTGTAGTAAAAGTGTTTTCTCCTCTATTTGGCTTCTTGTTTAGGAGACCATTATGAACAGTTATCACATAATATATCCATATGCAAACAGTAACAACTACGCTCATGTTTATTCATATAACGTAATCACCTTTGTTTCTAAACTCAGCCGTGCCATATCCTGAAATAGCAGAGCCAAACACCGATTAAATCTCTTTTCTCTTTAAATTTATTAAAAAGAGAGGGGTAAAATCAATTTTACTTACCCCTTCTTCCTCCTTTTAAGCTATATCTCAGTGAAAATCAGATAGTAAGTTTCAGTTCTCACACCCTTCCGTATTCAGTAATGATTTTGCGAAGAAGACAGGACAGGGAGTAGTTACGCGGCCTAAGGAAGCATGTCGACGTTTAAGTGCAATAAATTTCAACTTTAACAATGAGATGTCACCGCTTGCAAATGAAATATACGTGTGTAGCTGGGGTTGCATTATAATTCGGTTGATGACTGTAAACAGAGGAATTTAAATGCAAGACTGCATAACCTTCTAATAGTGCACACTGGAAATATGTTATTTTCAATTATGTTATACATGCTTGATTAACTCATGATGTTTTCAATATTAACTCAAGAAATATAGATGTGCAGATGCTGAATTCATTTTTCAATTTTTTAAATTTATTAATGAACTTAATTTAACGTTTTTATCTTGTTTGTAAATTTAACCTATCTGTTTAATTTATTTAGTATTAATTTCACTCTGCTGATTTAAGTCACAAATTATAACCATTGCAGTCATTAGACCGTTCTTTTTATTTTCGTTTTATTTATTTATTAGTCCAAAGGGGCTTTGTCCCTGAAGGAGTTTTGTTTTCGTTCTGAGATTTTACGTCGGAACCCTATAAACGGCTTATAACTTTTCAAATCGTTGCTACCAAATACTATCGTCCTGTATTATGTTTGAAAAAATTAAATAATGAAGAATTTTCATAAATGTATGTATGTTTCTCGCACTGTAATAAAACAACGGTACCTAGAGCCATCCAGTTTTGAATGATGTAATCCTATTGCGAATATGGGCATCTGAAAGTCCAAATTTGGAATTTAGAATTTGTTTTATTATCGATTTCATATTTTATAAACCTTTAACGAATTTTTTATTAAACTCAACGATTTCAAAGCGAGCAATGTCAGCACTCTAAGGGGGGATAAAAACCTCTTTATCTCCAGCGCTCGCGAGACTGTGTATCTCGGAAATTCTAAAGATAGTGCTCATTTAAGTATTATTTTGCAACATTGCTGTTGAATTGAATTTTATGGTTTAAGTGCAAAGAACATGATATTTAATAAATAAAGGTAGCACACAAAACGTTAAAAAACGCCCCTTTGGATGCAATTTAAAATCTTTTAGATTTTTATTTTTTATTTAAATTTATATTCATTTATTTAATAGTTAAATTTCCCTTAAGTAGAAAAAATACAAAATGGCGTTGCAGTAACTCTGCACTGTACACGCATAGAAATATCGTGATAAAAATCGGAGTATATCCTTCAAAGGTTTGCGAGAGAAACCTTCTAATTTATCTCTAATATCCAACATTTTCTTCGCGAAAAGATGAGTAATGTGATAGAAATAATATTTATCTTCTATCTCCTTGGGCTTAAAGCATAGGCAGTAGTTTATCAAAGCGTTTTTGTTATCAGAGAGTTTCATAATATTAATTAGAATAATTCAGCTAATTTTACCTGGACAAAAACAAAACTCTTTAAATTTTAAAAATTCAGAAATTCCTGCTACAGAAAATGACAATGAAAGGGAATAATGAATAGATTTATAAACATGAAATAGAAATTATACTCATAGCACCTTCAGCTGTAGTAGATCAATTTTGATATCATACTAATACCACGTAGACTGACGTAGACTAAAACTAAATCAGCCATCCTCTTCCTGCCGGGTAACAACAACCATCGTTGCCTGCATTTTCTGTATTAGAACCAGAAGCTCCTTCAAGTCAAAACGCGTTGTAATTTTAATCATTTAACCTATGTACATCATGCTACTTGTATAATAAATATAGCTTTTGATCATAAATGTTGCTGGTGCAGAGAATCTATAACACACTAAGCTTTTTTACTCGCATATTTGCAAGTGATGTCGGACGCCATTCATAATGTTAAAAGTGAAGCACAAGACGTGCCACCCGAAAGCGTGGAATAGGAATTCACTAAATGAAAGTAACTGCTCATTGCAAGAATATAGTGGTAGAAGAGCAAATTAAAGTGATTTTTCTTATTTGCTTGTTTAGTGTAATAAGAAATCTCATATTTTCATCCAGTGTAGTATGATAATTTCTTTTACTGAATATATGCTCAAATGTAGTAGATTCTAATTCATATAGTAGATGAAATTATTTGCATACACATAGATAATATGTTGAAAAACAGTCTTAACATTGCTTGAGTACTTTGATTCAGGGAAGTAATTTAATGCGCTATTACTAGCGCCTTAAATGATCTCGGTAAGGAAACTTACACATACATTAACGAAATCGGAGAGTTTTATTATGAAAAGTACTGTTAGAATAAGTAAATGTTAATGTCTAAGTCCCCTGGAAACGGAAAACATCTACGTAGCAGATGGGCAATTGTAAAGGTAATTACGTCATGTTGTGGACGTAAGAGAGAGTTTCGCTAAATTCAGTTATCTTAGAAAAAATTGAATTAACGTAAAGATTTCAGTTTTCATAACTAAATTAACTGTATTCGTGGCAAGTCTTAATTTTTTAACTCTCTGTGACGATTTTCATCAATGTGTAACGTTGCGCGCCTCCAACTTGCACGCAACCAAGGGGTGACTGTGAAAACTGTATAAAACACAGTCTTGTGAAGGGTTTAAGTCCCTTTTTATTCGACGTAAAAATTACAATTGCGTGCTCTTGACGCTCACAGACTGTGCCAACTCGGCAGTCAAATAAAAATAATAACCTGAAAAGAAACTAAAGACAAGACTCTAACTACGAGGCTCTCTAAAATAACTAACTCACCGCGTTTTACAATACCGCTGCTAATTCAGCAGACTTGAAGCTCACTTGGACGATTAACACTACTTCCCGCCAAGCACATAGGCCGAAACGCGGGGTTCTTCAATTTCTCGCTAACTACCTCCGCGCTCGTGAAGTAAGAATCTCACACCGAACTCGTTTCCTTCCTATTTAAATCATAATACTTCCGCTGATAATTTGAATCCTTGCGCGTTCTACTAAATTTACATAATTCTGGCATTGGCAGTTCCAGGGGAAAGTAAGGCTTGACAGGAAAGATAGTTTAAACTTAAAATAAATGTTAGTTAAAATAAATATAAACCCTACATTTGCCGCTGCCAGAATTTGGAAAAACTTGGAAGCAGGTCCTACAAACGACCTGTTGTAAAGTTTCTCTAATTCTGAACTAACTGGCGAGAACCTCGTTTACACAAAAAAATCTTATGTAACAATTATATACTAAAATTCTGTTGATCTTATAAAGCTCTCTTCTTACAGCAACTTTTCCTGGACTTCATCAATCAATCTTGGTCTTTCCTTCCAGCATCTGGAAGGAATAAGTATCAGTATCTTTCTACATACATTATAATTTACACTTTCTTGACACAATAAATTTTTTGTTTTTAAACGATTCGTTTTTCTTAGTTATTGCTTACTTCACATTCATTCAATTTTTCAAGCATTAATTTAACTTTACCCTGGCTCTCCACCATGTGTGGTGTCAAACGGGAATATTCGTGTTTTAGTCTTACAACACTTCCCCTAACCACCATGATTTGTTAGAATTCAACGACCAAATAGACACACCTTACTCGACATTCTACAACTCAATGAGCTACTTTAATAGTCTTAAAAATTCAAATGTAGGTGGAGAACCCTACAAAACACATTCATTCTAACTTCCCCCTCATTCATCTTTAAACATGCAGGCTTTCGCTCTAAAGCATGACTTTATCTACAGTTTAAAATACTTAAATTTTGACTTCATTGCTTTTAAGCATTCACTTTTAGCATCTACAATTTTATGCTTCTAGACTAAATTCTACTTTTACATAACATTCAAGTATTTACGTACATTTACAAAATTTTAATACATATGATTTTTACAATTTACCATAAAATGAATAAGAGAAAATAAATTTTTACTTTACTCAATCTTCGCCAAGCTGGCGGCACTGAAACTAAAATTCTTATTAATACAAGAATACGAAGTTATTTTTATCTTCGGCCAAATTTTGGCTTTAACATAACAGAATTAGTCTTTCGACCAACAGAAAATGCTTGTTTTTAGCTTTTACACTTAAAGAAAATAATACTTTTGCCTTAGCTAAATAAAGTAAAACAAAACTAAGTCTCAACCGAGACATATTGACTTTCGTCAAACATAGAACTTCGTACTTATGCATAACATTTCGGAACAAAAGAGAAAAACAATTTATAGAAGGTTTTAACTTATCTTTGAGTTTTCGATGCTTGAAACTCCGTCATTCGTTTTTGGCAATATTGCTCCCAAGTTAGAGGTTTCATGGATGTCAATCTTCTCCTTATTGATCCTCCGAGTGTCGTCCACGTTGCTTTTTCTTTTTTGCGTCCTCTACATGCTGGCCTCTTGGCGGAGTAATCGTCTGGTTGTTGGCATTTCCGTTTTTTTTGCCTGGGACGGCTGGTGGTCTTGACGTCCTCCGGTCTGGAGTCCTTCTTGAATTTCTTCTGTTCGTCGGTATTTTTGTGCCTCCTGTTGCCGTTTCAGTTTCCGGAACGGCGGCCTTGCTGGCACCTGACTCTGTGGCCGTGTGCGCGTTCTCCTTGATGTATAATTTCTCCTGCAATCCTTTGTAGGTGGTGTTTTTTCCACGGTCTTTAAACCGGTGCATCTGTGTTTTTGTTTTTTCTTAACCGCTGGAGTTTGAAAATTATTTTTTTCTTTTTGATACCGACGTCCGGGTTGTAGAAGGGCTAGGTCTCTCTTCAGTTCTCTGTTTCTTGGGTGGTGGAATAGTTGTTGTTCTGGACCTTCTATTTCGTTTAGACTTGAGTCCTGCAAGAAACTTTTAAGGATTTCAAAATCATTTGGATTATAGTATTTTTTCACCTGGTCGGGACTTGCTTTACAGATTTCCCCTCTCTCGTTCTTAAGATATAATACGACTCCTTTGATTTCCTGAATTACATAGGGGCCTTCAAACTTTGGAGCTAGCTTTGCCATAAAATTGTCTGGGGCACTTGATAAAGAAAATTTCCGCTTCAATACTTTATATCCCCAACTTTAAAATCTGCTTCCCACGGCGTTTTCTATCATAATATAGTTTTCTGCCTATTTCTTGCCGTATCCGAG